AAGACGCCCCCCCCCCACGAGCACTGCTCCCGAACGCCCCACAACTCGCGCACAATGAATGACTGTGCAATAAATAAATACGTACAATGACGTTTATAAAGAAATTGCATAAATTTAATAAACTGAAGTGAATATAATATACAAATACAATGAACGAAATAAATAGAATCATTTTTAATATACTAATAGCAATAATTTATTGAAAAAATATGATGAATTTGATAGACAAATAAAATGGTTTTAATAAACGAATGGAATGAATTTAATTAAAAAGATTGAATGAATTTAATAAATAAAATATATAATTATTATTTTTAGAATCAGTATAATGAAATCGACAAATTGAATTGTTTTACAAAAAATTAAAAACAAGTGAAACAGACGACCTTCGAAATGTGTATTTTTAGGTAAAGAATGATATTCTGACTTTTTTGTGACATGGAGCTGTTAAACATGTTATAAAACAATATTTTTAACTGTAGGCATTTATATCTTCTGAAATAACAAGAAGACGTTGATAAATTCGTAAAGAATAGTTTCGTTTATTTAAGAAACTACGTGTATACAATACATATTGATTTTTTGTGATAAACCGCATCTGGATGTGAATGAGAGTAACAATCAAAGTACCATCTCTCAGCATTTAAATAAACTTTGGAAGCAAAATGACAACTTGAACAAAGTTATACTAACACTAACCATATTCACTTTATGTTAATAAACATTTAGACGTCTTTCTATTTTTCTATAAAAAAATCATTTTCTTGAAATCAGAGAAACTGAGCTTGGTGCACCTTTCGCATCGTTTCGGCCCACTGTGCGTTGCGAGCCCAGTGTCCTCGACTTCCGGAATACACGCGCCGCAGGCGACGGCTGGGCTGGGTTGGGCTGGGGTGCGATGGCTGGCGCCGGCGGATGACAGGCGCGAGGGGCGACGAAGGGCGCATTCCGATTGGGGAGGAATGTCGCGGGGAGGGGGGGAGCGACGCAGGTTGGGAAGGCGCAGACGACAGCAGCACTGACTGTGCGCAGAGAATAACGAGTAAGGCTGGGTTTCCGATTTTCTCGAACAGCACTTCCAATTGAAACGGTCTCGGTTATCTATAGAAATATTGGAAATACTCGTATACTTGTCTAAAACCATCTCTCGTTATTTATTACGAGAGACAACCGGAAATTAATCTGTAATATAGAAAACTATCACGTGCTGTTTAATATTTAATATTCATATAATAATGTGGTGAAAATATTTATAAAAATAATTATCTATAAATTATTTTTATGTACATATTTATTCATTTTTTCTAAAAATAAACCCAGATATTCAATACAGAACGTTGGTAAACACAATGTAATATTTATTTAACGAATAAAAACAAACGCATATTCTCTCCTCTTCCAGGTGAAAGTATACAAGTGTTTTCTCACCGAATAAAAAAAATTGTTTTTGCTTGTGTTGAATATGTGAGAAATTCGCAGGAAAGTCATTGCTGTGATATAATGTTTATTCCATGATAGAAAGCGCAAGAGAGGACCAAAAAAATACGAATTGACGACAACTGATGTAAAAGAGCAGATTGCTCTGCATGTCGGGAAAAATTAATTAGAAAATTATGGAGAGAAAGACTGAATTTGAAATATGGAGGCAAGGAAAACGTACATTCGAGCTAGCAAGGACAGAAGACAAGCATAAGTTAATAACTTCGTGATATCGCGATAGAAGTGAAGAACGTGTTTCCAACCATGCAGATCAGTTACCGACGTAAGAACTGAGGTTGGACCTTTGATGAGGAGACGGTGGCGGCGAGGGCGCTCCCTCCTCGGCGACGACTGTCGCCCGGGGCGGCGCCGCCCATCTGTCACGCGCGTCATCCAGCCCTCTCCTCGCCCTGTCCCTTAGCGCTCTGTTTTTCTACTTTCCCCTCGTCAGTAGCCCTGACGGGGCAGTCGTTTAATGACATGTTGGCGTTTTATGCGCCGCAACTCTTCGGCTTTTGCCTAAGGAAGGGGCCGTATTTAAATAACTAATTTATTACTGAACTTAACCTATGGAAGATGCCGGCGCTTTGGCCTGCAACGTAAGATTCATTGCATGCTTATTGTATTTCCTATTAAAGTTTCCTTTCGATAATTTCGTTATTTTGTTTTTCATCATTTACTCATACATTCGTACTAAGTTCCAATTACCCTTGGAGCTGCTTCCTGAGCGGAGAAAGAGTCTCCGACAAGTAAAATTTGAGAGCGAATTTCGTTCACATATGTAACTTAAAACGAGGACAAGTTAGCTATTTCAGATTGGTTGAAAATGTGCATACATTCCGTGCGTTGTAAATGGTTGTTTTAGCATCATACTGTTAACCAGAATGGCCGTGATTTTTGCGTTATATCACATATGCATTTACAGTAATGATACAAATGTATTAGCTACATTTTTATAAGAACATTTTAAAAGATTTTTTTTAATTAAAAAATATTACAGTTCTTACATTAATCAGTTTCTGAGTCAATGGCCATTCGAATTTTCCTTTTCGATTTTCTTGGTCTATTGCGTAAAATGCTATGAAGCTTATGTGTTTTGTACCGAAACACCAACTGTTGCGCTAGTAAAATTGTATGTAATTTTGCCAAATGTTTATAACTAAACAAATTGTAAAATAAAATATTATTATTAAAAATTTTATTAAAAAATCCACTGGCATATATTACCAGAGAGTCATCGACTACCGTCGGGAGCCATGGCACTGGTTGCTGTAGCGATAAGGCTCTGCCTTCAGCAAGGCCGTGAAAACGGGACCCGGTCGGGCACACATCGGTGGCCCGTGCAGCGGAAAGGAATAGAACGGTTATGCAAAGAAGGTAAAAATAACACGATACCGGTAACACATGACATCATTGATGTCATATACACGACGTCATATCAAATGATGCCGTATCATTTTACAAGAAATAAATATTGTTTAAAATGTCCCGTACGTCAATGGCGACATGCGATGTTGGGTGGCTGTGTTCCTCTGATTATTCCCCATTACTCCAGTGTTCAAATAGCAACAGCCGGTACACGTGCAACTTTGAGCGCGTGGCTACTGACCTCCGATGCACGTGTTCCTTGACGACGAGGGCAATACGGTCCACTGGAGCGTGGCGGTACGCTCCCTGTTCCGCGCTCTCGAGCAATGAGGTGCAGCAATACGTAATGTGCAGAGATTCGTCTAGTCGGGTGTCTCTCGTTGTACCTCCGAGCTGCAGTACCGGCATTCCCACGTACGTGGTTCAAGTCACAGTTCTCAGATTCGCGTCCATTAATGCTGAAGGAAAACTGCACCGTGACCTACCTCAACTGCTCCATAAACGTGCAATGCTTCGCCACGACAGATGGTCGGTGACCTCAGGGAGCGCCACGGAGACCGAACGGATTATCAGCACTTTGCGCGAGTGACATAGAAAATACTCTAGTTACAAGTTGCACGTGGGCATGGTACAGTGCTGGCTGAAGAATGAGTTCACCTTTTCTACGGGGGGAAAAGAAAGAAAAAGGAAAAAATAAGAAAAAAGATTCTTCTGTATGGTTTTGCTTTTTCACCGACGATTTGTATATACTTGTTCGTCATCTGATGGTGCATACGATGCTCATTTTTGGCGCTGATTAGTGTAGATAAACAAAGAATAAAAACAATAATTCTTTGCATCTTTAACTCTTGGTATTCATATTCTTGTCATTTTTCAGAGGCATGGGCATCTAAAAGTCAGGAACGTTGAATTATCAAAAATTCTCATTGAGAGAATATTAATTTTTGTACTCTTGAATTGTAACAATTTATTGTCTTCCAGTCGAGTCTGTCGGCCACGGACATACTATTTCAATGGTATTTGAACAATGCAAGTTGAAATATTCAGATATCCTTCACTAAACCCATGCTTCGCATTCTTTCAATTATACACTTCATTTTCTGAATACCTCGTATACTTTACGTTCCGCATGACCTTTCTGACCGTTCTGACTACGCCGCATTCTTTAGCAAATTTTCCATTTTCCCTCGTGCATCTTCAAATAAATTTATATTCTCCTTTCTACGAAGATTCCTCGCTACGTGCTTATATAGTCGTCAGAGAAAATTAGTAGCAAACGCTGTATCTATTTTACCTGCATTCTTTTCGATTCTACATGCGTTATCACAATGCGCAGAGGATTCTTTTAATTTTACAGGCATGATAAAAGCGAATAATATTGAACATTCTTTATAAATATTGTAAATTTGAAACTATCGAAATTGTATTATAACTATTAAACAAACATAATATGGAATTTCTGTAATGATGAAGAATGTTGATGATTAAACGAAGTATTTCTAGATTTTACATGTTGTTAAAGATTTCACTACAACAAACCTGGATAGAAGTTTAAACTCGCTGATCTATACATTATCTTCTGATAATAGCATTGACGTTGTTGATACTGGAGGTATGCGATTTCTGCAATAAAACTTATGAGTTTTTTACAATACGATGAGGATTTCGTATATTTTTAATTGAAAATATTTACTT